ACCCTTTAATTACTCAGCCTTAACCCTTTAATTACTCAGCCTAACCCTTTAAGTTACTCAGCCTTAACCCTTTATTACCCAGCCTTAACCCTTTAATTACCCAGCCTTAACCTTTAGTTACCCAGCCTTAACCTTTCTTAACCCTTTAAGTTACTCAGCCTTAACCCTTTAATTTACCTCAGCCTTAACCCTTTAATTACTCAGCCTTAACCCTTTAATTACCCAGCCTATACCTTTTAGTTACCCAGCCTTAACCCTTTAATTACTCAGCCTTAACCCTTTAATTACTCAGCCTTAACCCTTTAATTACTCAGCCTTAACCCTTTAATTACTCAGCCTTAACCCTTTAGTTACCCAGCCTTAACTCTTTAATTACTCAGCCTTAACCCTTTAGTTACCCAGCCTTAACTCTTTAATTACTCAGCCTTAACCCTTTAGTTACCCTCACCCAGCCTGGCAGCCCTAACAGTGCATGAAAACACTGGGTCCTACTGGTCCAAGAAATCAACGCCATCGTGGGGGGGTGGGGGGTGGGGGGGTAGGGGGGGTGGGGGGGTGGGGGGGGTGGGGGGGTGGGGGGGTGGGGGGGTGTACCCAGGAGTGGAGCCCCTGCACCGGACAGCTGTGACAACTTCCTCCCAATTCTACCACAGGATGTGTGTCCAAATCATCCAAATCTTTGCAAAGATTCTGATCTCGCACACGCTCTCTCGTGTCAACTTTGAAAAAAGAAATGATAAATTATTTTGCACATATTTTATGTTCGTGTGCATTTCTGAGGTTATGAATCATCACCATGTTTATATGGAGTTCTTCCCTGCAGAGTGGCTTTAGTTACCCAGACTTAACCCTTCAGTTACCGAGCCCTAACCCTTAAATTACCCATCCTGGGTGGGGGGTTGGGGGGGGTGGGGGGGTGTACCCAGGAGTGGAGCCCCTGCACCGGACAGCTGTGACAACTTCCTCCCAATTCTTCACAAGCCCATCCAGACCTAGAACAATGACTGAGACTCTGTAGATGTGATCCAACCTGCCCAGACCAGAGATGAGAGGACTACAGGTGAACTGGACACTACAGTGAAGTACACCTGCAGGGGCCTCTTACAGTAACCTGCAGGGGCCTCTTACAGTAACCTGCAGGGGCCTCTTACAGTAACTCACGGCAACACATGTAGTGTAGAAATACAACTTCATACTATTCAATTCTATGAATACAAGTTCTATGAATAGAATTTGAACTCCAGGTCTTGTCATCATTACGGTAGTGGAATGATTCTATTTATACACTGTGAAATTCCACTTTCATACTAAAACCTTCTGTAGCGTCAGCGTCAGCGACTGTTAGCAATAGTTTATTTATTTGGAGAAAGCTGAGGAACTTATGCAAATGTTTCTGTCCTGGGCACAGAAATAAGCCTGCTTACAACAAAAAGGGGAAAACAAAGTCGCTGCCAATCAAAATGGAGTTCCAGCTGCTGACATAGATCAGGTTCTAGAGTCTGGCTCTGACGTATCGCTGAGCCAAGAGACTAATTACAGTGATATAACTGGCTGAAATAATAGTTGTGTAAAGGAGAAAAGACTAAAGAGCCTTATACAACATGTCCAGAAACAACCACTTAGGCTTTATAAATAATCTGCCACTGTCTGTAAGGTTTGTATATTGAGATCTACTGTATTGGTATACATTTTAATATATTATGAGGGCAATGTTCGATTTGAGGGCAAACTTTGATTGGGTACCTACCTAAGTACACTACAGTCTCTCTAGACAAACGTGTTGCCTCCCACAACGTGTCAATGCTCCAGTTTACACGTCTGTAGAATTTCCGGTGTGAGTTGGGACAGAGAGGACAAGTCGGGAAATGGGACGTGCTTCACCAGTAACGTCCCTGCCGTATCCGCTTGTTGCCCGAGCTAAACATGAGCACAAATCCGGCATTTTAAGCCTTGCCTACCCAAACTTGTGATTTGTTGGGAAAGTTGTCTGTCTGAAGAGGACCCTCCCCAGAACATTTTTTTTCCCCCCTTTCGAAATGTCCAAGAGAATCTGACATCCTCCCCAGACCTTGCGCTGTTGCTCCAAGGTTTGGGATTTCCGAGACTGAGGCCTAGATCAGATCATGCGTTAACCGACGATTGCCGACACCCACATAGCTGATGTTTTTGGCGGTGTCGGAGGTGTAACTGCATTGAGGCTATCATATCGGTGATCAGCTGCTCTCGTTCATTGTCACGAAGCCACACCATCCCACTCGAGTTAGAAGTTCAGAATGAGAAAGTGAAGGTTATACAGAAATGATGACGCTCAAATTTAAAATCATTAAAGAAAATAATGAGGATTTCTATCATCCTAATCAAGGTGTAGATTACATCTCACATTCCAGTGTTTGAACTTGTAAACAAGGCTGCATGGGATTTCTCTTAATGCGACTCTGTGCATCCAATGGCAATGTCCGCTTTAGGTACAGTGAGGGAGAAAAGTATTTGATCCCCTGCTGATTTTGTACGTTTGCCGACTGACAAAGACATGGTCAGTCTATAATTTTAATGGCAGGTTTATTTGAACAGTGAAAGACAGAATAACAACCAAAAAATCCAGAAAAAGCATGTCAAAAATGTTATAAATTTATTTGCATTTTAATGAGGGAAATAAGTATTTGACCCCTCTGCAAAAGATGACTTAGTACTTGGTGGCAAAACCCTTGTTGGTAATCACAGAGGTCAGACGTTTCTTGTTGTTGGCCAACAGGTTTGCACACATCTCAGGAGGGATTTTGTCCCACTCCTCTTTGCAGATCTTCTCCAAGTCTTTAAGGTTTCGAGGCTGACGTTTGGCAACTCGAACCTTCATCTCCCGCCACAGATTTTCTATGGGATTAAGGTCTGGAGACTGGCTAGGCCACTCCAGGACCTTAATGTGCCTCTTCTTGAGCCACTCCTTTGTTGCCTTGGCCTTGTGTTTTGGGTCATTGTCATGCTGGAATACCCATCCACGACCCATTTTCAATGCCCTGGCTGAGGGAAGGAGGTTCTCACCCAAGATTTGATGGTACATGGCCCCGTCCATCGTCACTTTGATGCGGTGAAGTTGTCCTGTCCCCTTAGCAGAAAAACACTCCCAAAGCATACTGTTTCCACATCCATGTTTGACGGTGGGGATGGTGTTCTTGGGGTCATAGGCAGCATTCCTCCTCCTCCAAACACGTTGAGTTGAGTTGATGCCAAAGAGCTCGATTTTGGTCTCATCTGACCACAACACTTTCACCCAGTTCTCCTCTGAATCATTCAGATGTTCATTGGCAAACTTCAGACGGGCCTGTATATTTGCTTTCTTGAGCAGGGGGACCTTGCGGGCGCTGTAGGATTTCAGTCCTTCACGGCGTAGTGTGTTACCAATTGTTTTCTTGGTGACTATGGTCCCAGCTGCCTTGAGATCATTGACAAGATCCTCCCATGTAGTTCTGGGCTGATTCCTCACCGTTCTCATGATCATTGCAACTCCACGAGGTGAGATCTTGCATGGAGCCCCAGGCCGAGGGAGATTGACAGTTCTTTTGTTTCTTCCATTTGCGAATAATCGCACCAAATGTTGTCACCTTCTCACCAAGCTGCTTGGCGATGGTCTTGTAGCCCATTTCAGCCTTGTGTAGGTCTACAATCTTGTCCCTGACTCATTGGAGAGCTCTTTGGTCTTGGCCATGGTGGAGAGTTTGGAATCTGATTGATTGATTGCTTCTGTGGACAGGTGTCTTTTATACAGGTAACAATCTGAGATTAGGAGCACTCCCTTTAAGAGTGTACTCCTAATCTCAGCTCGTTACCTGTATAAAAGACACCTGAGAGTCAGAAATCTTTCTGATTGAGAGGGGGTCAAATACTTATTTCCCTCATTGAAATGCAAATCATTTTACAACATTTTTGACATGCGTTTATTTCTGTTTTTTTGTTGTTGTTATTCTGTCTCTCACTGTTCAAATAAACCTTCCATTAAAATTATAGACTGATCATTTCTTTGTCAGTGGGCAAACGTACAAAATCAGCAGGGGATCAAATACTTTTTTTCCCCTCACTGTATAATGGCAGGAGACGCTTGTGGATTTGACAGCTCTAACACAGTTACACCTCTGATACTGCCAAAACAACCGCTATGCGGATGTCGGCTAAAGCGGACGTTATTGAATAGAGCCATAACCTAAGGATATCAATCCCTAAAAACAAAACACACACACACACCTCACTGAGTCCCAGTGGCACTCAGAGTCTGAGCCTGGCTTGGTGGATAACAGGCCAAACCAACTTGGCTAAGGTATAATTCTGTCATTTTGTTTTTCTTTACATGTATCATGTTATATATGAAATACCCCAAAATATAATACAGACTAATACAGATCTATTCTAATCTAAACCACCACTGTTGTGTAGTCAGCACACTTGATGATTGAGTTGGAGATGTGCATGGCCGCACAGTCATGGGTGAACAGGGAGTACAGGAGGGGGCTGAGCACGCACCCCTGTGGGGCCCAAGTGTTGAGGATCAGCATGGCGGAGGTGTTGTTGCCTACCTTCACCACTTGGGGTCAGTCCATCAGGAAGTCTAGGACCCAGTTGCACAGGGAGGGGTTCAGACCCAGGGCCTCAAGCTTAATGATGAGCTTGGAGGGCCCTAAGGTGTTGAAGGCTGAGCTGTAGTCAATGAACAGCATTATTATATACAGTGCCTTCAGAAAGTATTCACACCCCTTGACGTTTAACACATTTTGTTGTGTTACAAATTGGGATTAAAATTGATTTAATTGTTAGTTTTTTTCAAAGATCTACACAAAATATTTTGTTATTGCAAAGTTTTTTTTAGATGAATGAAAAATAAAACACTAATACATCTTGGTTAGTCTTACGCGGAATGGAACAGGGGAATCCAAGAGCAGACTCAGACGAGGAGACTGGGATGAAGTAACCAAGGTATTTATTGAAATGCAGGGGTGGAGATGGAGTGCAGGTCAGGGGAAACTGCTGGAAACCAGGTGCGGAGGCTGAGGCTGGAGCGAGTGGGGTTGAGACAGGGTGAGCAGGTCCGGAGGGGAATCAAAGGGAGTAGTAGAGTGTGGAATCCAGGACAGAGTAGCAGGATGACGAGACGTGGGACTGGAGACAGGGACCAGAGTCAGAGCTGGCAGAACTGTAGCGGAGAGGAAAACAACGTCAGGCGAGGAAAACAGGCACAACAGGATCTGAATAGTAACACACGGCTAGAACCGTAGACTGACTGAGCAGAGATTATGATCTGGCAGTGTGGAAGTGGCAGGACTGAGTATTTGTAGAGGTCTTGATTATGAAACAGGTTGCAGCTGGTGGGGATCTGCTCTGACTCCAGCACACCTGTCTCCGCCCACACAATCATACACACACACACAGAGAGAGAGAGGGAGAGGGAAAGAGTACAGGGGGAGTGGCGGCAGGTCAAGAAGACACAGGATGAGCAGTAGAGGGCGTTGCAGGAGCAGACGTGACAGTACCCCCCCCCACCCCTCTACGCCCGACCAGGCTTATCTAGGTGTGAGGTATAGAAATCCCGTAAGAGGGAGGGGTCCAGAATGTGACGGCAGGGCACCCAGCAGCACTCCTCAGGCCCGTATCCCTCCCAGTCCACCAGGTACTGCCAGCCACAACCCCGACGGCGCACGTCTAGAAGCCGCCGGACGGTATAGGCAGGATGGTCATCGATGAGCCGAGGGGGTGGAGGAGCTGCTGCAGGAGGAGACAGGTGACTGGAGCAGACAGGTTTAATCAGGGATATGTGGAAGGTAGGATGGATCCTGAGAGAGGCTGGAAGTCTCAGGCGCACCGCAGAGGGGTTAACGACATGGTCAATTTCAAAGGGACCAATGAATCAGGGGGAAAGTTTATTCGATGCCACCTTCAATGGCAGGTCCTTCGGTGAGAGCCATACCTTTTGACACGGTGTGTAGACTGGAGCTAAGGACCGGCGACAGTTGGCTTGGGACTGGGTCCTGTCGGAGGCAGGAAGAAGGGCAGCCAGGGCCTTCCTCCAGGTACGGTGACAATGGCGCAGATGGTCCTGGACAGAGGGAACCGCAACCTCAACCTCTTGGGCGGGGAACAAGGGGGGTTGGTAACCCAGAGCACACTCGAAGGGTGACATACCTGACGAGGCGTTGGTGAGGGTGTTGTGGGCATATTCAGCCCAGGGTAGCTGAGCGCTCCAGGAGGAAGGGTTAGCAGATGTCACGCAGCGTAGGGCAGTCTCCATCTCTTTGTTGGCCCGTTCGGTCTGGCCGTTGGTCTGGGGGTGATATCCAGAAGAAAGACTGACATTGATACCAAGAGCTGAACAGAAGGATCTCCATAACTGTGAGGTAAACTGGGGTCCTCTGTCGGAAATGATGTCAGTGGGGATGCCATGCAGACGAAACACATGGGATACTAACAGGTCTGCAGTCTCCCTGGAGGACGGGAGCTTAGAGAGGGGAATGAAGTGAGCCATTTTGGAAAACCTGTCAATAACGGTGAGGATGACGGAGTTACCGTTAGATGGGGGAAGGCCAGTGACGAAGTCCAGAGCTATGTGTGACCAGGGGCGACTGGGTATGGGAAGAGGGCGGAGCAGACTGGAAGTGGGTTTAGTGGGGGTTTTGTTCTGGCCACAAACCGAACAGGCTGAGACAAACTCCTGGACATCTCTCTCCATGGTGGGCCACCAAAGGCGCTGACGCAGGAAGGCGAGGGTCCGGTTCATACTAGGGTGACAGGTGAGGTGGGTAGAGTGGCCCCACTGAAGAACATCAGAGCGAACACAATCTGGGACAAACAGAGCATTACTAGGACCGTTACCCGGGTCAGGCTGGTTCTGCTGAGCCTGGCGTATACGGGACTCGATCTCCCAGGTGACGGCGGCAACGATGCAGGTGGATGGCACAATGGCTTCGGGCTCGGTACCCGTGTTGAACTGGCGAGAGAGGGCATCAGGCTTCGTATTCTTCAAACTGGGGCGATAAGGGAGTGTGAAATTGAATCTACCAAAGAACAAGGCCCACCTTGCTTTCCGGGATGTAGGACAGGTTATGGTTAGTCCACACGATGAAGGGGGTTACAGAGCCCTCCAGCCAGTGACACCATTCCTCCAAAGCCAGCTTAACTGCCAGGAGTTCCCAGTTTCCGATGTAAAAATTCCTCTCTGCAGGTGAGAGCTTACGGGAAAATAATGCACATGGGTGGACCTTCTGATCAGAGGCGGAACGTTGAGACAGAACAGCACCTACCCCGGTGTCAGAGGCGTCCACCTCCATGATGAACTGTAGTTCTGGATCGGGCTGAGTAAGGACCGGAGCGGAGGTGAAGCGACGCTTGAGTTCCAGGAATGCTGCCTCAGGAGTCCAGTGGAACGGAGTGGAGGTGAGAGGTGCTGCCAGATGGCTGTAGTTGCGGATGAAACATCTGTAAAAATGTGCAAACCCCAGGAAACGCTGTATCTGCTTCATGTTGGAGGGCGCAGGCCGCTCTGTGACTGCCATGACCTTGGCGGGGTCCATACGTAACTGTCCCTGTGCACTAATATAACCCAGGAAAGACACTGTGGCAGCATGGAACTCACATTTTTCAGCTTTAACAAAAAGCTTATTCTCCAACAGCCGTTTAAGAACTTGGCGAACGTGTTGCTGGTGAGCCTCAGGGTCCTTGGAAAAAATCTAAATAGACAAAAACGAAGCGTCCAATCACATCCCTCAGCACGTCATTGACTAGGTTCTGGAAAACAGCAGGGGCGTTAGTAAGACCAAAAGACATGACCAAATACTCAAAGTGACCAAGTGGTGTGTTGAATGCAGTCTTCCACTCGTCCCCCTCTCTTATGCAGACAAGGTGGTAGGCATTCCGGAGGTCGAGTTTGGTAAACACTGTGGCACCATGAAGGGGGGCAAAAGCAGAGCTGATGAGTGGAAAAGGGTTACTTGTTCTTAAAAGTGATATTATTCAGCCCACGGAAGTCTATGCACGGCCTCAGTGACCCATCCTTCTTCTTCACAAAGAAAAACCCAGCACCCACCGGGGAGGAAGATGGCTTGATAAGTCCTGCCGCCAGGGAATCCTGGAATTACCTCTCCATAGCCTCTTGCTCGGGATGAGAGAGGTTAAACAACCGGCTACTGGGGAGAGGAGCTCCAGGCTGGTGAGGCGGCAGCGACAGGGCGTGGTACTTGCTGAACACAGGAGCTAGATCGTGATACTCGGGAGGAACTGATGACAGGTCCGGAGGTTCTGGAATGAACTGGGGCACAGACAAGGCAGGGGGAAGGGCAGAATGTAAACAATTAGAGTGACAAAATGAACTCCAAGTGGTTACCTTTCTGGCGGTCCAGTCAATCTGTGGGTTGTGTAGCTTTAACCATGGATGGCCAAGAACCAGGGGAGAGTAAGGACAGTCGATTATGTGGAAACTGATCCTGGTGATTTCCAGAGAGACACAGGATGACAGGGACGGTTCTCTCACGGACACGGGTGAGGAGCTGTCCATTGAGAGCGTTGGCATCGAGGGGTGAATAGAGTGGGACAGTGTCCAGGCCCAACTGGGTAACGACACCTCGGTCCAGGAAGCTCTCGTTGGTGCCCGAATCGATGAGAGCAGACAGAGGAGAAGCCTGGCTCTGCCATCAGGTTGCCTTCAAGCAAGGGTCTGGGGGAAGATGGGCAGGCGATTTGGCTCAACAGTATATCCCCCACTACTGCCGAGCCCCCTCTTTTGCTGGACGCAGGGAACAAGTGGAAACAAAGTGACCAACCTGGTCACAGTATAGGCAGCTCCTACTGCTGATTTGTCGTTGCCTCTCCTCTGGAGAGAGACGGGCCCGCACGAGCTTCATGGGTTGAGGATTTGATGAGCCTGGGGATGGGGTGCAGTCGGAGAAGGAGGACAAGGCACTGAAGCAGATGTTATGGGACATGCAACCCTACCTACCCTCTCCCTCCGACGCTCACGGAGACGGTTGTCAATGCGGATAGTGAGAGAGTTGAGTTTATCAAGTCCATCAGGCTCATCCCTGGACACCAACTCGTCCTTGAGGGTCTCAGTGAGCGCGTTCCGGATTGCTCCCTGAAGGGCCCCCTCATTCCAGCCGCTCTCAACGGCGAGGGTGCGGAACTCACATGCCATCTCAGCAACACTATGGGGTTCTTGACGGAGGGACAGGAGTCTTTTAGCGGCATCCTTACCGGAGAACAGGTGGTCAAAGACTTTCTTAATCTCCTCCGTGAATCTGGAGTAGGAGAAGCAGATGGGGGACTGTCTCTCCCACACCACCTTGGCCCAGCAAAGCGCTGCTCCACAGAGGCAGCCAATCAGAAAGGAAATATTGGCCCGTTCGCTAGCATAAGGGTAGCACTGTTGCTCAAATACTAGTGAACATTGTACCAAAAAAGCTCTGCAAGCTCTGAGGTTGCCATCGTAATGCTCAGGAGTCGGAACAAACGGCTCCCGGAGCGGAGGAGAAGGACTTGGAACTGGTTGTGAGCTCTGGGATAAGGGTCGGCCCTGTAGGTCAGACAGGCTCTGTGAAAACTCCTTCATGTGCTCCAGAAGGATCTTCAGGGCTTGGTCATGTTGCTTGAGCAGGGCACCTTGGCCGACAAGGATATGGTGGAAAGTAGCAGAGTCCGCTGGGTTCATCTCTTTGGCCAGATCGTACTGTTTCGCGGAGTGGAACAGGGGAACCCAAGAGCAGACTCAGACGAGGAGACTGGGATGAAGTAACCAAGGTATTTATTAAAACACAGGGGGGAGATGGGGTGCAGGTCAGGGGAAACTGCTGGAAACCAGGTGCGGAGGCTGAGGCTGGAGCGAGGGGGGTTGAGACAGGGTGAGCAGGTCCGAAGGGGAATCCAAGGGAGTAGTAGAGTGTGGAATCCAGGACAGAGTAGCAGGATGACAAGACGTGGGACTGGAGACAGGGACCAGAGTCAGAGCGGGCAGAACTGTAGCGGAGAGGAAACCAGCATCAGGCGAGGAAAACAGGCACAACAGGATAACAGGATCTGAATAGTAACACACGGCTAGAACCGTAGACTGACTGAGCAGAGATTACGATCTGGCAGTGTGGAAGTGGCAGGACTGAGTATTTGTAGAGGTCTTGATTATGGAACAGGTTGCAGCTGGTGGGGATCTGCTCTTACTCCAGCACACCTGTCTCCGCCCACACAATCATACACACACAGAGAGAGAGAGAGGGAGAGGGAGAGAGTACTGGGGGAGTGGCGGCAGGTCAAGGAGACACAGGATGAGCAGTAGAGGGCGTTGCAGGAGCAAATGTGACAGTTCGATAAGTATTCAACCCCTGAGTCAATACACGTTAGAATCACCTTTGGCAGCGATTAAATCTGTGAGCCTTTTGGGGTAATTCTCTAAGAGCTTTGCACACCTGGATTGCCCATTATTCTTTTTTAAACTCTTCAAGCGCTGTCAAGTTGGTTGTTGATCATTGCTAGACAGCCATTTTCAAGTCTTGCCATAGATTTTCAGCCGATTTAAGTCAAAACTGTAACTAGGCCACTCAGGAACATTCAATGTTGACTTGGTAAGCAACTCCAGTGTACTGTATATTTGGCCTTGAGTTTCATGTTATTGTCCTGCTGAAAGGTGAATCGGTCTCCCAGTGTCTGTTGGAAAGCAGACTGAACCAGGTTTCCTCTAGGATTTTGCCTGTGCTTAGCTCTATTCCGTTTATTTTTATCCTAATGATGTTGGATTTGCCACAAACATAATTATTTGTATTCAGGACAAAAAGTGTATTTCTTTGCCACATTCTTTGCAATATTACTTTAGTGCCTTATTGCAAGCAGGATGCATGTTTTGGAATATTTTTTATTCTGTACAGACTTCCTTCTTTTCACTCTGTCATTTATGTTAGTATTGGATATTTTTTTGTACACATCTACCAATAGGTGCTCTTCTTTGCGAGACATTGGAAAACCTCCTTAGTCTTTGTGGTTGAATCTGTGCTTGAAATTCACTACTCGACTGAGGGACCTTACAGATAATTGTATGTGTGGGGTGCAAAGATGGGGTAATCATTAAAAAATCATGTTAACCACTATTAATGCACACAGAGTGAGTCCATGCAACTTATTATGTGACTTGTTAAGCACATTTATACTCCTGAACGTATTTAGGCTTGCCATAACAAAGGGGTTGAATACTTATTAATATACAAAAATGTCTAACAATAAAATTCCACTTTGACATTGTGGGGGGTATTATGTGTAGATAAGTGGCACAAAATCTCCATTGAATCAATTTTAAATTCAGGCTGTAACACAACAGAACGTGGGATAAGTAAAGGGGTGTGAATACTTTCTGAAGGCACTGTAGGTATTCTTCTAGTCCAGGTGGGAGAGGGAAGGGTGCAGTCAATGGCGATTGCGTCATCCGTGGATCTGTTGCGGCAGTATGCAAATTGTATTGGGTCTAGGGTGTTGGGTAATGTGGAGGTGATATGATCCTTAACTAGCCTCTCAACGCACTTCATGGTGACAGAATTGATTTCTACAGGGAGATAGTCATTTAGTTCAGTTACCTTCGCTTTCTTGGATACAGGAACAACGGTGGACATCTTGAAGCAAGTGGGGACAACAGACTGGAATAGGGAGAGATTGAATATGTCCTTAAACACTCAACCCAGCTGGTCTGCACATGCTCTGAGGACGTGGCTTGGGATGCCGTCTGGGCTGGCAGCCTTTGCGAGGGTTAACCTGCTTGAATGTCTTACTCACGTCGGCCACAGAGATCGGGAGCACACAGGTGAGTGGCGTGGGCCCACTTAGGTGACTTGGTGATGTTTTGCTCAAAGCGGGTGAAGAAAGTTCTTGTTCGGGAGTGAGGCGTCGGTGTCCGTGACGTGGCTGGTTTATAATCTGTGATTGTCTGGACTCCCTGCCACATGCGTCTGGTGTCAGAGCCGTTGAATTGTGATTCCACTTTGTCCCTGTACTGACGTTTTGCCTCTTTGATTGCCTTATGGAGGTCATAGCTGTTCTGTTTGTACATGTTCATGGTCTCAGTCACCTAGACCTGGGTTAAATGCTGTGGTTCGGGCTTTCAGTTTTGAGCAAATGCTGCCATTTATCCACGGTTTTTGGTTTGGATCATTTCTAATCATCCCAGTGGGAACAACATCCTCTATACACTTTCTGATGATCCCAGTCACCGAGTCAGTGCAGTTGTCGATACTATTCCCAGAGGTGACCCGGAACATTTTCCAGTCCACGTGATCAAAACAGTCTTGAAGCATAGATTCCGATTGGTCAGACCTTACCACGGGTGGTTCCTGCTTAGGTTTCTACCTATAGGCGGAGGAGCAGGATAGAGGTGTGATCTGATTTGCCGAAGGGAGGGCAAGGGAGGGCCTTGTAGCTGTAGTTGAAGGGAGAGTAATGCTGGTCAAGCGTGTTCTCTCCACGTGTAGCACAGGAGATGTGTTGACAGAATTTCGAGAGCGTTTCCCTCAGATTTCCTTTATTAAAGTCCCCAGCCACAATAAATGTGGCCACAGGATATGCGGTTTCCAGTTTGCACAAAGTCCAGTGTAGTTCCTTGAGAGCCATTGCGGTGTCTGCTTGGGGGGGAATATACACACCAGTGCTAATAAACGAATAAAATTATCTCGGGAAGAAATGTGGTCGGCATTTGATGGTGAGGTATTCCAGATCAGGAGAACAAAAGGACTTGAGTTCCTCTACGTTACCACAATCACAACATGAGTTGTTAATAATGAGACATACCTCTCCACCTCTTTTTTTCCCGGAGAGTTCTTTCTTCCCGTCCGTGCGAAGAATGGAGAATCCCATTGGCTGTAATGATGGGGGCAATATATCTGGAGAGAGCCATAATTCCGTAAAACAGAGTATGTTACAGTCCCTAATGTCTCTCTGGAAGTAGATCCTCGACCTGAGCTCGTCTACTTTATCGTCCAGGGACTGAACGTTAGCGAGTAACATATTCGGAAGTGGTAGATGATTTGCTCGCCACCGAAGCCTGACAAAAAGCCCACCTCTGCTCCCTCTTCTCCGGTGTCAACGTTTTGGTGTAGCACCCGAGATGAATAGGGCTGTCTCGGGGAGTCCAAACTAAGGATCCAGGTCAGGGAAGTCAAATTTCCGGTCGAATTTCTGGTGAGGGACCGCCAATCTAATGTCCAAAAGTTGTTATTTTCGACTGTAGGTAATAATACTAGAAACGTTCTGAGCAAATAATGTAAGAAATAACACAAAAATAATAAAATACTGCAAAGTTGGCTAGGAGCTATGAACAGGGTGACCATGTCTGTCGGCGCCATCTTGTTAGTATTTCAGACCTGTGTTATAGAGTGTGTTTATGTGTGTGTGTGTGTGTGTGTGTGAGGCATCTGGATCTGATCAGCAATGAACTGCAGAGGGCCTGGTTATGTGGTCATACAGTCTGTAATAGTACAGAACTGAACCCTGCTAGCACATTTGGTTCCTTGGAAGTTGTGGGAACGTACGTTTTTGGTTTCCCATTGGTTCTGGGAACGAAGCCACAAGTTTCACGACCAGTAAAACTGAATGTTTTTTAAAGGTTCTGAGAACAGAAGTGAAGATTTCACCTGTTCTAGGAAGACACATTTTTAGGTTGCAGGGAGGTTCTGAGAACATTTTATTGTAGTTATAGTTTAATAATAATATGCCATTTAGCAGACACTTTTATCCAAAGCGACTTACAGTCATGTGTGCATACATTTTTAAGTATGGGTGGTCCCGGGCATCGAACCCACTACCCTGGCTTTACAAGTGCCATGCTCTACCAATTGAGCTACAGAGGAGGTAATTTAATAGTGTTCTGAGAACATTCTCCAAATGCTGGAAATGTTTTGAACTCCATTTAAAGGTTAATTGGAGGTTTTTGAATAACAGTCTTAAAACTTTCACTGAATGTTTAAGAAATACTTAATAACTGCTAGCTTAGTGTAACTGTTTTGCACTCCAAGCACAGATAGAAATTCATGTGCATAGGAATTAATCATGCAAACACATTTCTTTCTTATTCTGGCCCGGCGTCAGTGAGAGTCAAACCTATGATTTACATCCATGGAATTAGTCCACTGCGCCACCAGGACGGAGCTAACGTGCCATTTCATACAATGCTGTTCATTTTAGTCTACTCAAACAGACCTGAAGAAACAAACACTCATTAAGATCATTAGATCAACACACCTGAACACAATTAGCAAGATAGAAAATAGAGTTTTGTTTACGCTGAGAATGGAATGTATATGTTTTTAAATAATGTTCTTTGAACATTATTAATGTTTTCTTGTGGATTTTATGGAACATTTTCTTAACATTCTGAGAACATTACTTTAAATAGAACCATGAGGAAACCTATAGAAAACGTTAAGCTGAAGTACTGAAATTCCTACAGAAGAACGTTGTTTCTTAACGTTCTCTGAACGTTCTGAAAACATGACTTTAAATAGACCATGAGGAAACCTGTAGGAAAGTTATGCTGAAGTACTGAAATTCCCACAGAAGAACGTTGTTTCTTAACATTCTCTGAACGTTCTGAGAACATTACTTTCAACAGAACCATGAGGAAACCTGTAGGAAATGTTATGCTGAAGTACTGAAATTCCCAACTTAAAAACACATGGGTCTCAGAACATTATGTGCTAGCTTGGTATCCTGTACCATTTCCAGAATGTTGTGGGAAGGTTGTATGCAAAATACCCAAAGGACAACCACGCTCTCACCAAGCTCTAAGAAACGTATGGTTTTCAGAACCTGGGTAGCTGGGAAGGCTCTAGTGTGGTCCATCCTATGGCTTATTTAAGTCCACAGAGGACTTACACTGGGACATCTCTTATGAGATGTATCCGTCCCATGTTTCATTTTAGACAGCCATCCTATAACTCACAGTTCTAAGGTTCAGACATTACATGTGTGTTTGTAAGGTCGATTATGTTGCATTATGGGTCGGGTCTGAGTCTGAGTGTGTGCGTGGGTGCGTGCATGTGTGTGTGTGTGTATTTGTTTTGTTTGAAGGATTGCAGAATAGGACGGGTCTGGGTCTCTCCATCCTCTTGGTCCTGGCCCGCCATTCCAATCCCCTGCCTGATAGCAGGAGGCGTCTGGACAGGGTTTTTATGGGCTACACGTTGTGGTCCGAATTGAATAGAACATGAACTGTGTGACCTTCACAAGAAGAACATCCAGTAAAAACAGCTGAGCCATCTCTGCCAGAACAACCCAGCAGACTTGGGTTCAAATACATGCCTATTTAAGTATTTGTATTTTAAATACTTATTTTCTGTGTATTTGAGTATTTTCAAATAATGTTGCCGAATCAACTACTTCAAATTTAAGTATTTGAATGTAAAAGAAATGGTATCTTCCTATAAATACTATTTGAAACTATTTTCAAATAATTGTTTCTAAATACATTTCAAAAAGCCCTAGGACCAAACAGACCTGCATGGGAGTATTTAAATATTTGTATTTGAAAATACACTTGTCTTTGTATTTGAGTATTTTCAAATACATGCCAAAACATTCCAAGTGTATTTCCAAACTACTTGTATTTTGAAATAAAAACATATTTAAATACTTATTTTGAAATGTATATGAAAGTAATTGAAATACCTTAAATATAATTTAAATGTTCTTGTTAGTTAGATACCACTGCACTGTTGGAGTTAGGAACACAAGCATTTCGCTACACCCGCAATAACATCTGCTAAATATGTGTATGTGACCAATAACATTTGATTTGATTTGAACCCAGGTCTCCGACCCAGGTAGAGGAAAATGGTGACGTCACACTATTGGTCCCATAGAAGAATCCCATTTAATTGGCCCCTAGTGTAATTTGAGTGGTCTCTGACTGCTTTAGTAGCTTACCAAATGATACACCTTACAGCTCTGTTATGAGACTTTTGTTAAACTCGCTGATGCTTACACAGTTCATACAGTTTTCCAGTTCAGGTCCATCAATACTGTATATATACTGGGGGCTTTTTGGCAGCCCCCGTCAGGAAGCAGTTCATAATATAATGGACGAGTGCCAGCATCCTGAGAGCAACGCAGCAGACACGGGGAAACGTGAAGCTGTCACCGACCGGCTGACCGACCGGTGTGGGTTGGTGGATTTTTTTTTTGTTGTGTCTGTTGGTCAGAGCAGAGAGGAGTCAGGTTGAGTGCAGACTGCAGACGGACGCACAGCAGCAGCTCTCTGGCTAAGTAGAAGCCCAGCTCTCCAGCCAGAACTACACTCTGCGGTTTTCTACTCACATGAAGTGGAGCGGTTCCACATTCTGGTGGGTGAATATAATGAGAGGCTGACCGGGTCAGGGTGCGGGGCGAAGAGGATGAAGAATTGTGGGAGAGGGAAGAGAGAGAGGGAAATGTAACGGTCATGGGAGGAGAAGATGGAGAGGACACTACGAGGTTAGAGACAGGCCACATTATCACCATGACAATGGAGGGAAGGAGAGAGAAAGTACAAGAGAAGCATACTTACAGGAAATGAATGTGAAAGGTTGTGGAGGGAGGAAGAGGTGATCAGCAGGAAGTGAAGGTAAAAGGTTGTGGAGGGAGGAAGAGGTGATCAGCAGGAAGTGAAGGTGAAAGGTTGTGGAGGGAGGAAGAGGTGATCAGCAGGAAGTGAAGGTGAAAGGTTGTGGAGGGAGGAAGAGGTGATCAGCAGAAACATATACATAGAGAGAGAAAGAGAGCAAGGGACGAGAGCTTGTCGTGTTGACCAGAGAAAGCAGAATTTTAAGATAGCTTGATCCCCCCCACCCCCATCTGTCCGAAGTGTAAATGTATCCTACCTCCTACCAGACCAGCTAAGAGCAAAGAGCCCTGCTCCGCTCTCCCACCAAGAGAGTCTGGAATACACATAGTTTCCACTAACTTTTTCTCTCCTGTTACAATAATAATTGAAGGGGATGTTGTTAGCTAGGGGAAGTGGAGTTGTGAGTGGTCCTTATGGCTTGCTCTCTGATCTCAGCAGGCCTTTAATTGAGAAGAACCATCAGGTCAGGCCACTCACTGTAAAGAAGAGAGTAATACTTTCTAACTAACTCTGTCATCAGACTGGAGTCCATTGGACTAGATAGTTCCAGTTGTGGAAACATCTAGCAGTTACTATATACCATCACATATTACAGCTACTAGGCCAGGGTATACCTTTAATCGTTGGGGGAGGAGATTTCTGACGTTTGTTCTCTTTTTTTTATAATGATCATTATTATTTATTATTCGTTTTGAATATTGATTTTAGGCCACAGCTGGACAGCTGTTTTATAACTACTGTTAAGTATCTTCTCTCGCATACTGTCCAGTTGTCATATCACTCCATGGGCCGGAATGGGATCTGTTGTGAGAGCCGAGCTAGGCAGAGGCAACCAGGTTTTTGGTTAAAATGTCCTGGTACTGGGTAAAGTTCATAATGTCGTCCCAGCAAGCACATAACGTTCTGAGAACCATATGTTTCTTAGAGCTTGGTGAGAGCGTGGTTGTCCTATGGTTATTTTGTATACAACCTTTCCACAATTTTCTGGGAATGGTGCAGGATAGTTGCTTGGCTTTGGAACATTCTCAGTACATTTCATGACTTTAACAGAACGTTTCCTAAAAGTTAAAACATGGTCACATTTAATTTCAATTTTGATAATGTTCTAGTAACGCTCTCCAACTGGTTTAACATTGGGAATGTTCTCAAATACAATAGTAAATAAGAAATATGTTTGCAGGACTAATGCTTATGCAAATTAATTCCCATGTCTCCGATCTGTGCTTGGAGTTCAAAACAGTTAATCCAAACTAAGCTAGCAGTTTTATTAAAAGTCTTATTGAAATATGTTCTCAGAACATTATTTAATTACCTTCAAATAACCTATAATTTCCGTTCTCAAAGCGTTAATAAAACCTCATTGGAAAACTTTCAGGGAATCATAGTAAAATGTTCTCAGAACCTCCCAGCAACCTTAAAATTACTGTTACCGTAATTTCAATTTTACCGGTCAGGAAACTATGGCTTCATTCCCAGAACCAATGAGAAACCAAAAACGTATGTTTCCACAACTTCCAAGGAACCAAATGTGCTAGCTGGGAGAACATCATGGCCTACTTACTGTAAAGAACCAATTACACTACGGAGGAGTTCGCAAGCCCACTCAACTTTTACACTCGATCACACATACCTGCCTCCATTCGGAAAACATTAGGAAGCAGCAGCAATGTGTTCATTCTTTCCAAACAAAGCAGGCAGGGGTGATGCACTCCTCTGGTATGGGTCTTTGTGTTCGTGGGCGGTGGGGCCGGGGCCTGACAGGGCCGTTCAGGGAGGAGAGAGACGAGAGGTTCTGCTAGGTTCTGCTACTAGTTAGCATACATCTGCTGCTCCAGGAGACGGACATGAGCTGCCTGGACTTCAGAGGCCACGCAGCGGGCAGACTAACGTTGAGAAATACAGAAGAGCAACTACTTACAGAAATACACATACACACACACACACACACACACAGGCATAGACACAGACACAGAACCACACACACACACACATACACTCATAGACACACACACAGGCATAGTAAACACAGAATACACATGAGAAGCGAAACGAGGGCTGGTTGCGTGTCTGGTTTCCCTAGCTTTATAAACTGTGGGGAGAGGGGAGCCAAGACCTGTTGTTTCCATGTGTCCCTGTTCCATGCCTCCATGCCATAAATGAAGATGTAGCTGTGTGTGTGTGTGTGTGGTGTGTGTGTGTGTGTGTGTGTGTGTGTGTGTGTGTGTGTGTGTGTGTGTGTGTGTGTGTGTGTGTGTGTGTGTGTGTGTGTGTGTGTGTGTGTGTGTGTGTGTGTGTGTGTGTGTGTGTGTGTGAGTCCACGCTATGGTGTCTGAGGTCACCTGGCCCTATTTACTGTTCTATTCCTGTTCACATGCGCTGAGTTCACTCACTGCACTGAACTCTTTACTGGAGTTTTACTCCCTAACTCAACAGAAGAGCTCCTTGCTTCTTCCATTTCTTATCTAATCAATTCATCAACAGTAATATTTATTTGTTCTGTCTCTGCCTCTCCTCTCCTGGCTCTATCTCTCTCTCTGCTCTCTCTCCTCTCGCTCTCTCTCTCTCTCCTCTGTCTCTCTCTCTGTCTCTCTCGTCTCTCTCTCTCTCTCTCTTGTCTCTGCTCTCTCTCTCTCCTCTCTAGCTGTCTCTTCTCTACCTTGTCTGTCTGGTCTGTCTGTCTGTCTGTTTTGTCGTTGTCGTTGTCTTTTTTTTTCTTCTTTTTTTTCTTTTCTGTTTCTTCTTCTTATGTCTTCTTTTTTCTTCTTTCCTGTCTCTCCCCTTTTCTCCTCTTTTTTCTCTTCTCTCTCTCTCTGGCCTTCTTCTGTTTTCTTTTTCTTCCCTTTTCTGTCCTTTTTTTGGCTCCTTCTTCTTCTCTGCTGTTCGTTGTTGTTGTCTGTCTGTTGTCTGTTGTCCCCCCCTCCTTTTTCTGTCGTCTGTTTCTGTCTTTTTCGGTTTGCGTTGGTGGGGGGTGTTTTTTCTTTTTTTTCTCTATTGTTTTTTCTCTTTGTCTCTCCTATCTTTTCTCTCTTTCTCTTTCTCTCCCCTTTGTTTTTTCTGGTCTCTCTCTTCTCTTTTTCCCTCTCTCTCTCTTCTTTCTCTATTCTCTCTTCTCTTCTCTTTTTTTTCTTCTCTTCTCTCTCTCTTCTCTTTTCCTCTCTTTCTCTCTCTTTTCTCTTCTCTTTCTCTCCTGTCATCTTCTCTCTCTTCTTCTCTGTCTCTCTGTCTCTGTCTCTCTCTCTCTCTCTGCACTGCCAACCCACAGCTCTCTGCGTTTTCCCCCAACAGGACGGGGAGCCTATTCTCATCAGAGTGGTCTTTGAATAAGGGTTTCAAATTTGGGGAAATGACATTTTGACAGGAAATGCAGCTCTGTCTCGGGTTCTGTGTGGTGCAGTGGTTGCACAGCCTTTCCTCTATAGGAAGACAGGTTTTCCTGTGTCTACCCTTCTCAAGGGCAAGGCTGTGCTCACTGAGCCTGTATTTTGTCAAGGTTTTCCTAAGGTTTTGATCAGTAACCATGGTCAAATAATTTGTCATGGTGTACTGTCGATTTAGGGCCAGAGTGCACTGAATGTTGCTTTGTGCTTGTGTTTCCCAATAGGTCATGCCGTTTTGTTTAGAAATGTGGTTTATTCTGATTGATTGGATGTTCTGGTCCTGAGGCTTCAGTGTGTTAGTAGAACAGGTTTGTGAACTCAGCCCCAGGTCCAGCTGGATGAGGGGACTCTTTTCTTTGCTCAGCTCTTTGCATTGCAGGGCTTGGTAATGATGTGAGAGGGGGTCACTGCATTTTAAATGTTTCCAAAACTTAATTGCTATTTTTTTAGTTTTTGTTATTAGTGGATATAGGCCTAATTCTGCCCTGCATGCATTGTTTGTAGTTTTCCCTCTGGACATGTAGGAGAATTTTAGAGAACTCTGCATGCAGGGTTTCAATGGGGTATTCGTCCCATTGGGTGAAATCTTGTTTTGCAAGTGGACCCCACACCTCGCTGCCATAAAGTGAAATTGCTTCAATGACACATTCAATTAGTTTTAGCCGAATTTGTATAGGTATTTCAATTTGAATTTGTTTTTTAATGGCGTAGAATGCCCTGTGTGCTTTCTCTCTCAGTTAATTCACTGCCTCATTAAGGTGTCCAGTTGAGATTATTTTTAAACCTATGTGTGCAGTACTCTATATATTTTGTACCAGTTGAGAACCTTGGTCTAATTCCCTGAGATCTGGATCTTCTCTGGAAAATCATTATTTTAGTCTTTTTGGGGGTTTACTGCCAGGGCCCAGGTCTGGCAGTACTGCTCTGGCAGGTCCAGGCTCTGCTGTAGGCCGTGTGCTGTGGGTGACAGCAGGCACAGGTAAACTGTGAAGAGCAGGCATTTAACGGCTGAATTGTGGAGACTAACACCAGTGGTTGAGGATTTTTCTAGAATAGTGCCCAATTTGTTGAGTAAATATTGAAGAATGCAGGGCTCAGATTGCAACCCTGGCGAAGGCCCTGTCCCCTGGTTAAAGAATTATGTTCTTCCCCATGTTGATGCTGCACGTAATTGATTTAATTATGTCATATGTTTTACCTCCTACACCACTTTCAATAACTTTGTAGAACATTCCTGTATGGCAAATAGAATCAAATGCTTTTTGGAAGTTGATAATAGCCGTTCCATGGGAAAGCGAATGCTCCTACCACTGTGTCTCCCAAGCATCTTCGACTGGTGTTTTGGCTTACTGCCCCGCATACTGCTTGTATCCACAGCACTGCCTTGTGAGTTGGTGATCTCCAGCTCGCTTAGTAAAGGGCAGCCAGGATCCATACAGTGAGGAAGTTCTCCGCCTTCTCTCTGTTTATCGTACTGGTGCATGTGTGATCAAGTCTGTGTTGCTTGTGTGGGTTTGCGACTTCACTGGCTGAGCTTGTTTTCAGGAGGCGGGGTGTGGGCTGTGTTTGCCACTTCACTGGCTGAGCTTGTTTTCAGAAGGCGGAGCTTGTTTTCAGGAGGCGGGGTGTGGGCTGTGTTTGCGAACTCATTTTAGCTCACAACACGCTTGTAGCATGGCTAATACTAGACAGAAAAACGCTGCAAAGCTCAGTGGGGAAGATTAATAAATATTAAGCACTACACTCCATGAACTACTCAATCAACAAAGAGTTCTATAAAGATCTAATAGATCTGCAGGAAAATAACTTTAAGTCCTTCCTGCAACTCTTTATGGGTTCTACAAACAAAAGGGTTGATGATCTGTTTAAGGACGTAAACACAGCTTTGAGTTTACGCAGTAAGAAGTGGACGAGCTAAAGGGAGTGAATGTCACCAGCCAGACCGCATTCAAAACCATGTCTGAGGATTTAGCAATTTTCCAAACAACACTTGACAAGCACTCTTCCAAAGGAGGCTACCTCGAGGCGCCAATAACATTTTAATGGATGGGGTAAAAAAAGGGGGGGAAGGGGCAAAGGGGGGGGCCCTTTTTTAAAAAGGCGGGAATTGTGGCAAAACCCTTTTAAAAACCCCGTGGTTTTGGCGAAAAAATTTTTTTTTAAAAAATTTTTGGGGGGCCCCCCCCAATGTGTTGTTTTGGGGTTTTTCAAATAAATTTTGGGGGGGGAAAAAAAAAAAAAAAAAAAAAAAAAAAAAAAAAAAAAAAAAAAAAAAAAAAAAAAAGGGGGGGGGGGGGGGGGGGGGGGGGGGGGGGGGGGGGGGGGGGGGGGGCGCCAGGAATCCCCCTTTCGGGGAAGTTTTTCCCCTTCCAAGTTTAAAAAGGATTCCCCTTAATAACTTTTTGGTTTGGGTTTGGGCCAAAAGAAAAAATTTTTGGATGGGGCGGGGAAAACTCCCCCACTGGCCAAACTTTTTCGAAGGGGGGTTTGGGCGGGGCAACCTTTACCCAAAGTTGTAGGGGTTCAGGTTCAAAGGGGGGGATTAAAGAACCCCCTTTCCTAAAACCCCAAAATTTATAATTTGTGGTTTGTTTTGGAAATTTATTAAAAAAAGGGGGGGGGTTGGGGATTCATACCAAGTTTGTTTCAAAGGGGGGTGGGGTGGTCACCAACCCCACAAAAAAAAAACAAAAAAAATCCAAACCAGACAAAAACCCCAAAGCAACCCCCAAAACTAAAAACCCCCCCCCCCCCCAAAACCAAAAACAACCCAAAAAGGCCAAAACCCGGCACCCACAAACAAAAAGAAAAACCAAACCCCACCCCGACCCCCAAACCCCCCAAGGGACCCCAAAACCCAAATTTTCCAAACCCCAAGGGAACAAACACAAAAACCCGGAAAACCCCAAAGGGAAAAAAAAAAAAACCCAAAAAACCCCCGGGACCCCACCCACCCCAACAACCCCAAAACCCAAAAAAAAAAAAAAAAACCCAAAAAAAGAAAAGGGGGGAAAAAAGAAAAAGACAAAAAAAACCAAACCAAAAACAAAACCAAAAAAAAAGAAAACAAAAGAAAAAAAAAAAAAAGAAACCAAAAAAAAACCCCACCCCCACAAACACCAAAACCCACACCCCCAAAAACCCCCACACCCAACAACAAACACAAAAAAAGGCACCCACCCCCCACCAACAAAACAAACCCCAAAACAAAAACCCCCCACCCCAAAAACAACACCCCACACAAAACCCCAAAAAAACACCCACCCCCCCAAAAAAAAACCCCCAAAACCCAAAAACCCCCAAAAGAAAAAAAAAAAAAAACAACCCCCCAAAAAAAAAAAGAAAAAAACCCCCCAAAAACCCCAAAAAAACCCCCCAAAAAACAAAACAAAAAAAAAAAAAAAAAAAAACCACAAAACAAACAAAACACGACAAAAAACAAGAAAACAAAAAAAAAAAAAAAACAAAAAAAAACCTACACACACAAACCCCCCAAAACCCACAAAGACACCCCCCACACCCAACAAACCAAAAAACCAAACCCAAAAAACCCAAAACCAACAAACAACACACAACACCCACCCCAAAAACACACACACCACAAACACAAAAACCACACACCCAAAAAACAAAACACAACCCCCCCAAAAAAACCCCAACAAAACACCCACACCACCCAAAACACACACACACCCACACAACCCCCAAAAACACACCCACAAACACAAAAACCACACCACAACCCACCCCAAAACACAAAAAAAAACAAAAAAAAACAAACCACAAAAAAAGAAAAAAAAAACCCCCACAAAAAAACAAAAAAACCCCAAAAACCAAACACAAAAACACACAAAAACACACACACACCAACACCCACACAACACAACACACCACCCACCAAAAAAACCACAACAACAAACACACACACACAAAAAAACCAAAAACCACAACAAAAAAACAAAAAAAAAAAAAACATAAAAAAAAAAAAAAAAAAAAAAAACAAAAAAAAAAAAAAAAAAAAAAAAAAAAAGAAAACACAAAAAAAAAAAAAAAAAAAAAACAAAAAAAAAAAAAGAAAAAAAAAAAAAAAAAAAAAACAAAAAACCAACAAAAACAAAAAAAAAAAAAAACCAAAAAAAAAACACAACAAAAAAAAAAAAAAAAAAAAAAAAAAACAACAAAAAAAAAAAAAAAAAACAAAAAAAAAAAAAACAAAAACAACCCCCAAAACAAAAAAAAACAAATAAGAAAAAATAAAAAAAAACAAAAAAAAAAAAAAAAAGACAAAAAAAAACCCAACAACACACAACCAAAACAAAACACAAAAAAAAAAAAAACCCCAAAAAAAAAAAACCCCACACAAAAAAAAACCCCCCCAAAAAAAAACACCCACAACAAAAACCCCACAAAAAACCCCAACAAAAAAAATACAACCCACCCCTAAACAACCCAACAAAAACAAAAAATACAACACACCCACACATCCAAACCACAAAACACCATACACATAAACACACCCAAAACAACAACAACACACAAAACAACACACACCCAAAAAAAAAAAAAAAACCCCCAAACACCCCAAACACACCCCCCAAACAACACACCCCACCCCACACACACACACACACATACACCACACATAACAATATACACCCACACCACACACATTTACACACCACCCATATACACCCCACACATTCACCCACATACCACACAACACACACACACCACCACACAATATTTACCTTATTTTGTTCATGTGTTTCACCTCATGACCCAAACCACACATTTCTCTAAATGTCATAACCCTCTGAAGTCTTCATTGGTGTTATGTGGACTGTGTCAATGTGCATTCCATAGGAAGTGCACCCCCTATTGATAAAACTAACACAAATGTATGGTTTTATTGGACATGTGAGGCATGCACTTCTGTTTCCATTCAACTCTCTGGATGATTCCGACTGTGTATCTCCTAGTTGGGCAGGATATCAACCCTGACAACATGGTCTTTAACCCATTAGATATTAATGAAGCCAACGATAAATATAATGATTGTGTTCATCCAGATTCAAATTTCCTGAAATTGATCAGAGATAAGTCTATCACTTGTGATTACTATAACGTTAAGCAATTTAACAACCAGTTTAACAGTTTATCTAATTCCAAGCTTATTTTCTACCTTTCAGTTGAACGTTCCCAGTCTTCCTAAAAATCACGACCACCTTGTTCATTATTTGTCTTCTCTCAGTCATGAACGTTCCATCGTTGCCCTTTTCAGAAACATGGTTGACTGAAGAGACAGCCATGCTTTATGACAAGTCTCCTTATAATGCTGTTCACCACTGTGGAACATCCAGAGTGGGAGGAGGAATGGCCATTTTTGTTCATAAACGTTTTCAATTCTTTGTAAGAGAGGACCTCGCACTTACATCTGATAACATTGATGTTGAGTCTCTTTTCACAGAAATTCCCTCCTGTTCATTTTTTTTGGTGGTACAAAAGTGGTAATTGGATGCATCAATCTGCCACCCGATTCTGACATTGGTAGTTTCATTGATATCCTTGCATCAATCTTGGATTTTATTAATAATGAAGATAACATTTGTTTTCTATTGGGTGATGAGTGGCACAGTGGTCTAAGGCACTGCATCGCAGTGCTAGCTGTGCCACTAGAGATCCTGGTTCGAGTCCAGGCTCTATCGCAGCCGGCCGCGACCGGGAGACCCATGGGCGGCGCACAATTGGTCCAAGGTAGGGAAGGGTTTGGCCGGCAGGGATGTGGGTTTGTTTCCCACGAGGGGCCAGTATGAAAAAAAATAAAAAAACATGTATGCATTCACCAACTGTAAGTCGCTCTGTATAAGAGCGTCTGCTAAATGACTAAAATTACAACATACATTTATTTAAAAGTGAGAACCACTCAGTGACATCTGACTCTTTGAATACTTTATACTCCAGCTCTCTGTATCCCCTCATCTATAAGCCCCCAAGAGTGACCAGTTCATCTGCCACCCTTATTGATAATATTTTTTTACAAATTCTTTGAATAATGTGGCTAATAAAGACATACATTATACTGACATTTCTGACCACTTTCCAATTTTCCACTTCTCTTTGGCAGCTTGAAATGAACAGATGGGAATGATTAGTAACATTAAATGTAGAATATTTAACTAAAGTAATTGTGAGCGCTTAAAGATGTTGATTGCTGATATTTCATGAGAACATTTTTATAATCAGGCCGATGTGGAGTCTGCTTACCAGACTTTTCGCACATCTTTTAATTCTGTATTTCACCTCTGCTTTCCCTTAGTTAAGGTTCTGCAAACCTTGGTTTACAACCGGTCTCAGAAAATCCTCTGTTAAAAAAAAACAACAAGTTCTATACAAAGTTTCTCACAAGTCCCTCTCCGATATCCCAAAAAGTTTATT